CGATGCTGGTCCCGTGTTGTTTTAGTTGTCGGGAGCACTCGTTCACAGTGATCCTTTGCTACCCCGCTAACCAGTGACAAGCTTACACTGATCGTTCCAATGGCAACACTTGCCAAGCCTCAATCATCAACGGCAATCTCAAACGGCAGTCAATCTCTGGCAATAAATTTCTCGCAGTCAAGTGGGTTCTGACGGAAACCCTGAAATGAACTCACTGTTAGCTCTTGTTAACTTTATCACTGCCCTATCTAAACCCTGTCTGAGATCGAATGAGACTTACTTGTTATACTGCAATAGTGCAGCACAGGTGACTAGGCCACGTGACTATTTCTGTGACGGACGGGCAGGGACGTCTTGCTGGACCGAATGCTTCCACGTGACTAAGGACCAGCCAGCGTCGCGTCTCTCCAAGGCGCTAGCTTAGGCCTACGTGAAATATTTTCCGCCTAACTAATAACTCCTTGGGATACCCGTAACATTATTCAGACTGATAAACGATCTATAATAATTTCAAATTCAATAATTGTCCCTTAACTTCATGAATCGCATCATTATTAATTCGGCAAATTACATTTAATCTCATATAGACCTAGTTCCACCACCTCTTGCTATGTGCGGGGAGCGCTCTCTTCCCTCAGACGACCTTGAAAGCTAAGTATCGCCAATGGCGCGGCATTTGAAATTACACTGAAATTTCTGAATATTACAATCGACTCCCCTAAAAAAAGACAGCAATGTCCTCATGTGCTGAGAAAAACATGCATACGACCCCCGTAAAAAATTGTTCTAAGAAACTGCATCTCACCCCTTCAGCGTGCTAAACGCAGCATTCCCGTCTTCTCTTCTCCCTCCCGCTAATAGGTGACTAGGCCACGTGACTATTTCTGTGACGGACGCGCAGGGACGTCTTGCTGGACCGAATGCTTCCACATGACTAAGGACCAGCCAGCGTCGCGTCTCTCCAAGGCGCTAGCTTAGGCCTACGTGACATATTTTCCGCCTAACTAATAAGTCCTTGGGACAACTGTAACATTATTCAGACTGATAAACGATCTATAATAATTTCAAATTCAATAATAGTCCCTTAACTTCATGAATTGCATCATTATTAATTCGGCAAATTACATTTAATCTCATATAGACCTATTTCCACCACCTCTCGCTATATATATATATATATATATATATATATATATATAATATATGTATGTATGTATGTATGTATATATATATATATATATATATATATATATATATATATATATATATATATATATATATATATATATATATATATATATATATATATATATATATATATATATATATATATATATATATTGTGAAGAACCTCGTCATCAATTGTCATGATCTACCTACCCAGCACTACGAACCACGCCATCTATTGTCATGATCTACCTACCCAGCACCACGAGCAACGCCCTCGAAGGACGAAACCCGAGTATGACTAGTCTTAGTTACCACTCCGGGGTTTCCCTTCTCCATATCCTGGTTGTTGCGTCACCTCCTCCAAGTCTTCCTTATCAGCGCCAGGTCGAGGAGAGTTGAGTTCACTCTGGGAAGTGACCACACTAGGATCACCTATCCTGGAAACCTACGGCACAGTGACTACCTACCACCGTCTTCAATACTCAGCCTTACTCGTCAGCCATCTCAGCACTGCACTTGAGTATTTTGTAATCTTTTATTGCCTCCCCACCTCCACATGCTTTAGAATGTTGTATGTTGTATAAATATGTATATACTGTTAAGCCAATGTTGCGTATGTTTAGGTTAAGTATGGTTAAGGGTAATTTATAAGAAGCTGAATATTTTGTTAAGGAATTTATGGTACTTTATTATACACAACAAAAACTCTCATCGTTTGTCTACCCTTTTATAGTCCGATTGTCTTTGTTTTTTTTATTGTTGTTGCCTGTTGGGATCTGGGTAGACTTTTAACTATATTCTAAATCCCCAACTCGTAATATATATATATATATATATATATATATATATATATGCAGGGTACTTCACCAAAGAGTACATTAAATTGGAGGATGAAATCCTTGGATATTTCGGAACCACAAAGTCTCTATGGTAAAATGTCAGGTTCTCCATAGTTTCCACGTTACAATACATTTAAGATGTTGTATTAATGAGAGTGAATTTGATGTGAAACTCCCTCCCCCCTGTAACTGCCTCTATCTCATTCGGTCATACATGGTATTTGCCTCATGGCACCTGTGTCAGCCATCTGTATCACACTGTACTGCTGTACATAAGACATCTGTGGATAAATGATTACAAAAAGCTTACATAATGACGCATAATTACTAATATTCATACTAATATACAATAATCAAAGCTTTCTTACAAGTCATTACTATAAGCTTGGAATTTAATCTAAAGGAAACGGGACAGAATGTAAACTAAATACAATGGGTGACTAAAACAAATATTGAGGGAGCATGGGAGGTGACCGTAACATTTTACATAAACATTATACAGATGTTTGAAGTATAGTTGTAAAGAAACATTTGTGGGGTATGGGTTATTTGTGTTCACACTCAGGATGGGATGGAGAAAGGAAACTCACAATGTGCTCTCTGTATACATGTTGTATTGGATGTACAATGCAGCTTGGTGCTGGGAAGGCAGCATGGTTACAAGCGTGATGTAGAGAGAGCTGGTTGGTGAGGATGCTCAGAGGAGGACAGCTTGTGGGACGCCATGCTCGCCGGCGGGAGCGAGGGCCGCCAGGCAGGCGGAGGAGGTGTTGCTTGCTGCGGCTGTAGCTAGAAGAGGGAGAACTGGTTGGTGAGGATGATCAGAGGAGGACCAGCTTGTGGGTCGCCATGCTCGCCGGCGGGAGCGAGGACCGCCAGGCAGGCGGAGGAGGAGGAGGTGTTGCTGGCTGGTTAGTGTAGGTAAAAAGAGAGAGATCACCACGAGGTCAGGTCTTAAATAGCGGGGGGTAGGCGTGGCTTAGTAGTTGACCTCCGTGATGTATGGCGGCGCTGGTTGACCCAGACCACGAGGCACACACTGTGGAATTCGCGGGGTCAGCTACTCAGCGACAAACAGCGTTTGTAGGGGAGAAATCCACTACAATACTCCCTCCTTCCCTCCAAGCGGTGTAGGAGACTTGTTGTCTGCAGGGTTGCATGGCACATGTGAGGCAGAACGGGCGGTGCATGCCTCATGTGAGACAACGGCGATGGCGTGGATGAGCCGGCCGCTAGGGGAGACAACTCTCTAGATACACAATATCTGTGGGAATAGAGAGGGAGAAAAAGGGTGTGTGTTGGCGATGAATGTTGTTCTTCCCTCACGGCAGGTACAGAGTCGTCAGATGCGCCTGCTGGGGTGTGTGGGCCTGGGTCAGGAGCAGGGGCTGCGTCAGCAGAAGCGGATGAGGGCTCTTGACAACAGCTGGGTCCACGACAGCAGCAGGGTGCAGGACAGTAGCAGGGAGAAAAGAGGGGTGTGTGGGTCCGCACTCAGGCGCATGGGCCGCGTCGGGAGCAGGGGCTGCATCAGGAGGCGCGGCAGGGGGTACTGCTGGGCCGGGGGCGGCGTCTGAGGCAGGACGGGTGTATTGGGGTCGGTAGGACGTGGTGCTTGGGGCAGGAATAGGAGCGGCTGTCTGCTTAGAGTAGCAGAGCTGCTCTAGGGTGTCTAACCTGCGGTTTAGAGACAGTAACTGTAGAGCCAATGAGAGCTGCTTCTGGGTGGATAAGCCAGTCTTCCATGTTGCTTGAAGACTGGGAGAGTGATCAGTTTCTCCTCCATCCTGTGTGAGTGCGAATCTCCGGGGGTCACCATTTGTGGGGTATGAGACGTTTGGTTCACACTCAGAATGGGATGGAGAAAGGAAAATCACAATGTGCTCTCATGTATACATGTTGTATTGGATGTACAATGCAGCTTGGTGCTGGGAAGGCAGCATGGTTACAAGCGTGATGCAGAGAGAGCTGGTTGGTGAGGGTGCTCAGAGGAGGACAGCTTTTGGATCGCCATGATCGCCGGCGGGAGCGAGGGCCGCCAGGCAGTGGCGGAGGAGGTGGTGTAGCTTGCTGCGGCTGTAGCTAGAAGAAGAGAGTTGGTTGGTGAGGATGCTCAGAGGAGGACAGCTTGTGGGTCGCCATGCTCGCCGGCGGGAGCGAGGACCGCCAGGCAGGCGGAGGAGGAGGAGGAGGAGGAGGTGTTGCTGGCTGGTTGGTGTAGGTAGAAAGAGAGAGGTCGATACGATACGAAGTCTTTAGTTAAGAGGTGAAAGAAGATTATTAGGAGTTGAAGGAAAAGTGGTGAAACTGAAATACAGTAGGAGTAGAAAGAATCTGGGCTCAACCAGATCGCTTCATCTTTCTTATTGGTGTTTTGTCTTTGTTCTGCTCCCTTGGGTCGTCAGACCTTTGTATTAATATTGGTTTATTTATATAATGCTGCTTATTATTATTATTTTTATTATTGTTGGAGTTAGTGAGCCCGCCCAGGTCCTTGTGTAACTTATTTTTTTTTTTTGAGGTGTTAGTTAAGTGTTAGTTGTGTTAGTCTAAAGGTACACTGTATGGAGAGGCCTGCCAGGTTCTTAGTGGAGCTGGTTGGTCACTCTCATCTTTATTCCTCTAGTAATGTTTTATGTAGAAATGTGTATGTTGAGGCAGGAGGTGGTTCAATTACTTCTTCCTGGCTGATATAGCTGGGAGGGTAATCACATTATTATTATTAATATTATTAATATATTTTTTTTTTTTTTTTTTTGAGTTAGTGAGCCCGCCCAGGTCCTTGTGTAGCTGGGAGGGTAGTCACATTTTTTTTTTTTTTTTTGTAGGGGAGAAATCCACTACACATTATACAGATGTTTGAAGTGTAGTTGTGCATAAACATTATATAGATGTTTGAAGTGCAGTTGTAAAGAAACATTATACAGATGTTTGAAGTGTAGTTGTACATAACATTATGATGATATTCTGAGGACTAATTTTTTTCAGGCGAAACCGATTGAAAATAAGGCGTTCCGTGTACTGGCGATGCTCTCTCCAGATGAAGATGTGTTTCGAGGCGTCTCCAGTTTCCTTGACATGCTCGGTCTAGCTGTCCATCGTGACTACTGTGAGCACGGTCTCGCGAGCAGGCTGGTGAAGGTAATTAGTCTTTAGAAATCAAGTTTAGAAATAATTGTATGTTAAAGCTCACAACTTTTGTTCAGTGATAAGAAATGTGTCTCCATCCACGGCTTTTCACTAAACATTTCTACCTACACAGGTCCCAGGCCAAAATTCATTCCAGAGTTCTCTTGCACCCATATTATATCATGCGTTGTAATCTTATTTGGTGCCACTGATCGGTTAGTGTCGACTGGAAATAACCTCCCATCTCTGAACTGACACCCCTGCTTAGTAGGGGACAGCTCATTGCCCAACAACTGTTGCATTGTTAGAGAACTTCTGTAAGAGTGGTATTTGGCAGCAGCTGAAGTTGGGTGCAAGCTTTCCAGTTGGAACCCTGCTGCGGAGACCGAGGTTCTACTGACAAGAGGTAACGATAATTGTCCATACAGTAGAAATATTACAGTTCACCCACACACGCAACTCATCATGAGTAAAGTCCAGTTGAGGAAATGTATTCAACACTCTCCAGCCAATGCGTTCTTTTTACCAACGTTATACAAGGATGAAACAGTGGCACAACCCGTGATGGCTTGCACAAACATAAGATGGTTCTTGACTGTGAGAATGATGGATTGCTGAATTTTATGAATGCTGTAGACCAGTGGTTCTTAACCTTTTTACTACCACGCCCCCTCTAGGAAGTGGTCCTTCCCTCCACGCCCCCCTTGCATCTATGAATAAAATTCCCTCCCAGATTTTAAAGAAAAATTAAAAATATTGTTTTTTAGTCTTTTTATTGAGTATAAATTAGTGAGATACTTGACACTGCTTCTTAGCTACTAGATCTTGAATGCGTGGTTGAATGCCAGAGAGTGCACAACGTAAATCCCCTTCAACGTTCAGCCTGTTTCTGTACTTGGTCTTGACAGCAACGAGCGTTGAAAATGCAGCTTCACAAAGATACGTGGATCCGAACATAGTTAGTATCCAAAGAGCCTGATGTGAGATCAGAGGGTAAACAGGAAGGTACTTGACCCAGAACGTCTCAAGATCCAGTTCTTTGAAGTCTTCCTTAGCTGTGGAGTTGAACTTCAACTCAAGAAACTCCTCTTGCACTTCATCCGAAACATCAGCTACTTTACATTGAAATGGGTTCCTGATGAATTTCCAGGCTACACGCTTCGCGTCTATCTCTGGGAAGTATCTAATGGATTCTGTTTTCAAGTCCGTGAGATGAGTCATTATTTGTTTCTTTAACTCAGAATCAAGGTTACCGTGAATGAGAGCAGAATCCAAGTTACTAAAACTGGCTGTATTTCCCTGCTGAATTCGACACTTCCAGAGGTCGAGTTTGGCCATGAAGGTTCGAATGGTGTCGTGGTGCATGATGATGTTTTTCCCTTGTAGTTTAAGGTTGAGAGCACTCAACGCTTCGAAGATGTCCACCAGGTTAGCTAGAGATAGCTGAAAGCCTTCAGACTGGAACTTGTCATGGAGATCTGCCTTCTGCTTCGAATCAAGAAATATTGCTACTTCTTCTCGTAGTTCATAAAGCCGTCCAAGCATATTCCCCTTTGATAGCCATCGTACGTTCGCGTGAAAAAGCAAGGTTTCATGTTCAGATTCCATATCCTTACACAGCAGTTTGAAGAGACGACTGTTTAAGGCTCCAACTTTGATAAAGTTGACTACCTTGATAGCCACGTTCAGGACATCCTTCATTTCAGCAGGTAAAGTTCTGGATACTAAAGATTCACGATGAAGTATGCAGTGTGTACCTACAACAGACGGATTTTTTTCTTTCACCATTGTAATGAATCGAGACTGCAGACCAAGCATGGCTGGAGCTCCATCAGTGCACACTCCTACCAGCGAGTCCTACGAAAGTTGGTTTATCTGAAAGAAGTTTGATACCTGTACATCATGAAAAATAGCTGCTGCTGTTGTACAACTTCCCATGGGGTGACAGAACAGCATTTCCTCTTTTACACTGTTGCCTGACACGAAACGAGCATACATCAGTAGCTGAGAACACTGAGCGATGTCAGTCGTTTCGTCACACTGGATGGGAAAAACAGGAGAATCTCTTACTTGGTCGAGAATTTGATCTTTGATGTCTTGAGACAATTCATCGATCCTTCCCTTGACTGTATCGTTTGAGAGTGAAATTTGGGAAAGCTTGTTTGCACTATCTTTCCCCAGAACGAGTTCTGCTGCCCGGAGTATGCTTGGTTTTATGAGAAACTCTCCGATGTTATGGCTCTTCTTGCTCTTTGCAATCAACATGGCGATCTCATAGGAAGCCTCAACAACCTTTGAACTTTATTGCCGAAATGCCTCACTGCCGTCCAACTTAACTTGCTTCAAGGAGTGTCTTTTTGTTTCAAAGAATGCCTTGGGCTTGTCAGCTAGAGCAGGATGTGTTGTCCACAAGTGGCGTTCCAAGCGTGAGAGCCGCATTCCACCCTTGCTCAGTCTTGTAACATATCACACACTGGGGGACCTCTGTGTCACCCTTTTGGAGAGACACGAATCCAAATCGAATATATTCGTCAAGATACTTCCGCTTCTTTGCACTCATTGCGAATTATTTGATGTGCAGTGGACAACACAAATCTGTGATCAAAACATAAGGCACGTGTAAGGTAAGATAAACATCACCACGTGCTCATGAACACCACAACATCATGATAATCACAACCACATGATCAATAACAAACATTTGAAGTTCAGTAATGAGCCTTTCTTTGTTTTTCTCTTTGTCAAAAAAGATTTGCTGATTCTATACCGGGCAGCTGCCAACTGAACTATTTTTGTTCACATCAAGTGCATATTACAATAAACATATGTTGCCCGCTTCCTGATTGTTTAGAATGCTAATTAATCTTTTCACTACGATGTCTTCATATTTATTTTATTCCGACTACCAACAGACGATTATATTCGGCTGGGGAAGTTCCATCTCCTAATAAAGATGTTAAATAAACTTCGCTGCTTCTACAAGATATAGACTCAAACATATCCATAATCCACACTAATCATAAATGCCCCATTTTGCAAAGGAACACCTTACTTAGAGCACAGATTCATCCCCCTGGCATCCTTATGTAACTTAAGTATTTTCATCTGGCTATCGCTAGACGATTAGACTCAGCTGAGGAAACCCCATCGGTATTGTTAAAGCGTTATTCTGCATTGTATCCTCTCCCAACTACAGTAATATACACTTTCCATCTTCACCCCCAGCATCCCGTCCACCCCCCGAGAAAGACGCCTACACGCCCTTCCTCTCTCCCTCCTGTACACTTGCTAATCCTTCGAATTCACCCTCTAGAGTTCAGAAATGGACCCAACTGCACCTAGACCTGTAAATGTATAGACATTGACATTAGCATTGTTAAATACGAGGTTTACACGATCATCTGACAGACCATACAACTGCTCTCCACTTGGGTAGAAGTGCATCATAAAAACGCGGGATCTCCCTGTAATTTTCTACAAACGACAAGCTACTTGGGATAAAAATCAGTTCATGAGACTCATAACTTCCGAATGATGTACACAGGAATGGCTGAAAGAGGAAGATAAACAAATGAGCATAGTCTAATAGCCGATATAAGGCTATGTGCAATGACAGTAAGGTATCGTTGTGTGACTGTAGGGCCATCAGTCTTTGTCTTGATTAACCCATCGAGAAGGTGGTGAAGGAATATTGACACTGATTCACAAACACCTAACTGGCACATCTTAGGATAATGAGAGCATCATATTATGTTTTCGATCGTATTTTATCCTGAATTATAGCAGCAGCCATGTCTATGATAGCCTCCTGTGTCAAACCACTGTACACAAAGTTAAATCTGAGGATCATGTTGCCAGTATCTACGAAAGTATGAATGGTCTCTTTTCCTGACTCACTCGCAGTTATCATGGTCGACCACGTGGTCGTTTCTCATCATTTGGATTGCCAGCAAGTTGATTTCTGCAGTTGAAACGCACCTGGCAATAATGATGTTAAGTCCTTTCAGCAGCGATTAGGTCAGATATATTTTGCAAACGAAGTTTTACCACAGCCCCTCATTCATCGTTACGTTCATTAGTTTTCGTGGTAATTGATTGCAAAAATGGTAGTGATTCAGCTTCATGAATATGCTCACGTTTTTTCAATGGTTCCTTCTGATCTTTTCCTTTATGTCTTTGATGGTCTTAGCACAGTACAGTCTCTTACAACGGACGATATTTGATACCAGTGTATAGTCTTACCGACATTTATCCTGAATGGGGATTGATAAAGCTCTTCTTCTGCCATTTTGCATGAAGGCTATCACCTCGCTCATCACTGATACCCATAATGCTTGCCAAACCCTTTTGTCTTATATGACCAAGATCGGAAGTAATGGGATAGCCACAGAAATCTCCCATCTTCTCCATTGTCACTCGAAGCCCGAAAAGAAAGAAGAACCATCATCATATTGATACAAATTATCAGCTTTCACTTACGACATCCAATGGAAATCATATTGAAACAGACCTCGCAACATGGCTTAATTTATTCAGAGTTTTTTAAGAAGTGATGAATCACAATGATGGAATATTCAATGTATGGTGACAAAATTACCTCAAATTTAGATTCTGATGATTCCATTTAAATCTTTATACCCCAAAACCTCTGTCTAGAGCCAAGTTTTATTTTCCTGTGATAAGTAATAACAACCTTATAGCTCTTTTGGTGTTTTCAAAATATTCACGAATTAAGACAGCGGCCACCTTGGAATTCTGACGTTTCGTCAAGTGGTATTTTAGGCCACTTTACTGTGTGGTATTGGGTAGACATCAAAACAGCAATTCTGAAAAAAAAATGTTTTATAATTTTTTCTAGGTTAGAGTTAATGCTACTGTACAATAGGATTTTTATGCTGACAATACTGTGTCTGGTGTTCCCAGGAAGTCACCCATCCAAATACTGTACAAAACTGACCCGATGTTGTTATCCTTTGCTATGTAGACTATTATAATGAGATTGTGTAATGTATGCAAACATAATTCCAAAACTCTGGTGTGAAACGAATTGAGTGTCTAAACAATCTTTAAAGGGGTCAGGGATTAGCTGGGGGAGCCAGGGACTAGACAGGGTGTTGTTTACAATCAAGTGTTGTTAGAGAGTTGTGGCATCATACAGGACCCTCTGGACCTAGATAGAAAAAAATATATTTTTTTTGCGGATAACAACCACCTAACTCTTACAGATTAATTTATATACAGCAAAGGTCATGATGATGTCTTCATTGTTGTGACGCCAGAGTAGTTTTATATCAAATAAAGTTCATCAGCCGATAATAAAGTGAGGGATTATCTGTCGTGCAGTTAAAGCTGTGAACAGGGTTGTTATTTTTTATATCAAACAAATCGGATTTATTTGATTCAAGTTGGATTTTTTATTTCAATCAATTTTGAAGAAAAAATAATCAGGTCTTTTTCCCTAGTTGACAGCTACTGTTCCTAGTCTTCTCCTTCGATGGACTTGTTCATTCGAAACTGAGGAACCGCCTTGGGACGGAAAAGCAGCAAAACTGGTCTTTCACATTAACTCTTTGAATGCAGACGCTGGTCATGGTTACGAACCAACAATTAACCTCTTTCGTGTCTTAAAATGTGTTAAATGTAGGGATTCTAATAGTGTTAAGAATTAAAAGTGTTTATTATAAATAATGTCTGAATATCTCCGAACATATCTGTTTCAGAAAACTCTGGCGCTCGGTGAGGAGCGAGGCTACTCGGCGTCAGAGGTACAGATCTCCAATACCTTGTCGGAGAAGATTTACAATAAACAAGGTTTTGAAACAATTAAGACCCTTGATCTGGCGACTGTGGAAGATGAATTTGGCCTTGACATATCTCTCATACCCGGTGAAACTATCCTGAAGTTGATGGTCAAACGCCCTCCCAGCATCGTCTTGGGGCAATAGAAACTTCAGCAGCTCTGGATAAGTTTAGGTTTTTGGTTAAGTTTAGGCTTAGGAGGGAGATAGGAAGAAACTGGTTCACAAATAGGGTGGTGGACGAGTGGAACAAGCTTAGCAACTTTGTAGTAAGTGCGGGAACTCTGGAAAGTTTCAAAAGGAGGCTAGATAGCTTCATGGATGATAGAGAGTGGTAGTAATTCTCGACAGTAGCTGCCATGCACAGGCCAACCGGCCTATTGCAGACTCCTTATTTTCTTATGTTCTTATGTTCTTCATGAAATTTAAATATGCAATGTGAAATAACGACATTGTATTTTTTTTTTCAGTTTGACAAATTTTGCAATGTTTTCATAACCTGACAACAGATTCTCTCGGTGTTATAATGTAGTGGACTTCAAGAACCTATGTCAGAAGACAGCTATTAATGAGTAAAACCATAAATTATATGTTCTTTTTACAACTACTCCAGCTCTCTTCGTAAGCCATGAATGGTCTGAAATATGGCAGATAAAATCCAATGTGGACAAATATAAAGTACTTAGTCTAGGAGATGTAGACAGACAAGCCAGATACCAGATGAACAACGATGTTAAAGAGAAATCTGACTGAGAAAGACCTGGGAGTAATGATAAGTAGGAATCTTAAGCCAAGTAAACAATGTGCATTTGCTTGAAACAAGGCTAACAAAGTACTTGGGTTCAAACAAAGGAGTGTTACTTACAAGCCTAGCGAGGTCATCCTAAAACTATATCTTGTGCTTGTGAGACCTCACTTGGATTACACAGTTCAGTTTTGGTCACCGTATTACAGAATGGATATAGGATCCCTAGAAGGAATTCAGAAGAAAATGACAAGACTGTAATCGCTCAGAGGAGCAATTTTGGTTTTGTGCAGGACAATAAGACCCTTGTCATTGACGCGATCAGGGCCGGATTCAGGAGTGGGCAAAGTGGGCAGCTGCCCAGGGACCTCGACATATTACAAATTTTATTTATTTGTTTATTCATTTGGATTATTTTTATTTTCATTCTTTAAAATTCGTGTTTATCCATTCCATCACGTAAAACTATGTTCAGCAAGAAGCGTGACAAAAATTAGGCTAGCTACTCCTTGAAATTCATGAATACCTGGTTTTCCTATGAACCGTATATTTTTAATATAACTGCTTATGGTTTCAAAATTCTCCAAAGAAGTGTTCAAATTTCAAAATTTTCTCGGGGGGCTTACAGCGCCCCCCGGAACTCCCAGATGTTTAGGCCCACTTCACTCGCCACCCCACCCTCTTGGGTAGTTATAATGAGGGGGGCCTCCACAAAGCGGCTGCCCATGGGCCTCCACAGGCCTAAATCCGGCACTGGACGCGATGAGCATAATTCGGTCATAACCTGTTCAATTCAATTCGCATATAACAACTGCTGGTACATCAGGACACAGTTTGAATAATACTATCAATATATAGTACATAATTACACTTATTAAAGTTATTCAGAGTTCTCAGAGGATTCAACAGTTCACAATCACACTCACGTTTTGGGGTCTAGGGTTAGGTCAACGAGAACAAATCTAATGTGTTGCTGGTGATATTGGCTGACGAGAATCCAGATGTTGCCTTTATAAGAACATAAGAACATAAGAAAGTGGGATACTGCAGGAGGCCGACTGGCCCATACAGGGCAGATCCCTTTCACACCCATCCCAGCACTTCCATGTGCCTATCCAACTTCGTCTTGAAGCTCCCTAGCGTCCCCGATCCTACTATAGCACTCGGTAGCCTATTCCACATATCCACAACTCTATTACCAAACCAGTGCTTGCCTATATCCTTTCTGAATCGGAATTTATCTAATTTAAAGCCATTTGTTCTAGTTTTTTCGTTATTACTGAGCTTCAGAACATCTTCCATTTTACCCTTGTTAATCCCACTTACCCACTTGAACACCTCTATCATATCTCCCCTAACTCTACGCCTCTCTAATGAATGCAAGCCTAAGCTTTTCAGTCTTTCTTCATATGGAAGGTTTCTAATATTATGGATCATTTTTGTCATTCTTCTTTGTACTCTCTCCAAAGAATATATGTCCATTCTATAATAAGGACACCAGAATTGAACCGCATAATCCATGTGTGGCCTCACTAATGCTAGGTAAAGTTTCAAGATAACGTCAGCAGTTCTGTTACTCACACTCCTAGATATGAACCCAAGAATCCTGTTTGCCTTGTTGCGAACGCAAATACATTGTTTTCTAGGTTTCAAGTCGTTGCTAACAAATACACCTAGATCTTTTTCACAATCTGAGTTTTCTATTTCCGTGTTACCTAGTTTATACTTAACGTTTGTATTCGTCTTCCCTATCTTTGTTTTTTTGTTGTTGTTACCTGTTGGGATCTGGGTAGACGTATAACTATATTCTAAATCCCCAACTCGTAACAAATGGCGACCGTGACAGGATACAACATTAAGTGCCATATTTCTTTCCCCCTTGTTACTCCTTGTTAATTATTCCTCCCAGTCACTTCTGTTCACAATTGCTTTACGGTGGTTTAAAGTTTCCTTCATATGTGTGTGCATATATTGGTATTATCGTACAGTAAGAGTGACAGCCGTAGGATATTAGGTTCCAAGTGTCATAAGGCTTACCTGTTATTACACGTGGCAGTCGTGTAGTAAGTCTTATCGAGTGTAGGGAAGAATCCGGATCTGTTTAATGCCGTTCCCTCACTCCAGAGTAGGCTGTTCAATAGTCACTAGTTTACGGTGAAGTAATATCTTGGGACGCCCCGCTCTACCAGGACCCCATAATTATAAAGCCTCAATTATTGTTCTTCTCATTATCTCATTCAGGGTCAATCATACCATTTCTCAGGGTTGTTAATCCGGATCTTTATATTAATGCCGTAATACGCCCTTCCTCTTTAAAGTATCTCGGGGTTGTTAATCCGGATCTTTATATAAAATGCCGTAATACGCCCTTCCTCTTTCAAGTATATCAGGGTTGTTAATCCGGATCTTTATATTAATGCCGTAATACCCCCTTCCTCTTTCAAGTATCTCAGGGTTGTTAATCCGGATCTTTATATTAATGCCGTAATACGCCCTACCTCTTTCAAGTCTCTTATCCTTATCTAAGGATCTTCTCAGAAGAACAATAATCATAAGTGTAATTTCCCTAGGTATAACTTGGTTAGTTTCCGGGACTTTCTGGTTATCCACTGCCGTGATATTTTCTGGGGTAATCCACTTATCTTATCTTTTGACCATTAATTAATTAATTTAGGTTTTCTTAATGGCCACCTCAGGATTTGTTAAACTTGGTAGTCCTGGAGGAGTGGAAGAGCAAGATACCATTTCACATCTTGAAGCATGTGGAGGATCGTGGAGAGGTTAATTTGGGACGTGCCGCTGAGCTGGCTGATGAGTACGCCTTGCTGGTGGAGTCACTGTGCCGTAGGGAACGTGGTACTTCCCGTCATGTTAGGTCCTCCTCTGATGATAACCTTGGGGGCGTGAGTTGTAGGTCGAAAGGTCCCACACTTACCCCCCCCGATGCAACCAAGCTTACTTGTTCTTACTGTAAAAACCCAGGCCATACGATCCAGACTTGTAAACACCCAAAGTGTCGAATTGCTAAAAGTAGTTCCCTGGATCCTAAATCCAAACCAATAGCAAACACCAATGTGGAAAGGCCCCATCAGGATCTCTTCTCTTCATTCACCTATGAGGGAAAATTTTCAATCATAGAGGGGTCTCGTTCTTTCCCTATTCGTATACTACGTGATACGGGCGCAGCACAATCTATCCTCCTGTTTAACGTCATTCCCGATATATCTACCGCATTTACTAATGAGTGTTCTAATTTCGGATCTCTCATCCCATTCTTCCTATCCTTTAGCTAAAGTGCACCTCCAATGTCCCTTGATTACTGGGGAAGTGCAAATAGCCATAAGGAAAGACCCAATGCCTGTGTGCGGCATTCATTTATTATTGGGTAATGACTTGGTAGGAGATCTAGTGGTTCCTAACATAAAGACAGTCGACTCTCCCTTACCTGTCAACTCCACCACTGACCTTAAAGAAACTATTCCTCATCTTTTCCCATCTTGTGCTGTCACCCGGTCACAGTGTGTGCGTAATGGGCCCTCTTCATGTGAAACCACCTCCAATATCTTACTACCCACAGAAAATCTGTACAATAAGACCATTAGTAAGGATGAGCTCATTACAGCCCAACAATCTGATCCATCTTTGTTCAAACAGGTGATGAAAGACCTCAGTGTGGACCATTGTACATCTTCGGCTTACCACCCACCGTCCCAGGGTTGCTTGGAACGGTTCCATGAAAACTTTCAAATCCATGCAAATAAACTATCTCCCCTCAACTATATAGTCCATACTCCTGATCGCAGAAAAGATTCACAACTTGTTCACATTAATCTCATGAAACTTTACCATTCCAGGCAGTCAGAGGAAGACATCCCAGAGGCTATAAGTCAACCTGTATTGCATACGGTTTTGTCAGGGCCGGAGCCGGAGACAGATGACATGGACCTATTGGAGAATTTAGACTTCCCTCTACCTAAAGAAAACCCTGCTAACAGTCACATACTCAACAACTTGGATGAGTATTTTTCTGTTCTGAATCCATCTCGAGCAAAAGATCTCACTAAGTTATTATCAACATTTCCTAAAGTCACGTCAGACCTCCCAGGGTTTTGCAATATACTTAAACATGATATTAAGCTAATCTCAGATAATGTACAACCCATTAGGCAATCAGCCTATCGACTAAATCCACAAAAAAAAGAGATTATGAAAAAGGAGGTAGATTTTTTGTTAAAACTTAACTTAGCTGAGCCTAGTACCTCCCCCTGGGCTTCACCTTGCCTTCTCATTCCAAAACCCGATGGCACTTTTCGTTTCTGTACCGATTATCGTATAGTGAACCAGGTCACTGTCTCAGACTCCTACCCTTTACCTTTGATTGAAGATATAATAGACAGCATAGGCTGTGCCAAATTTATCAGTACGGTGGACTTATTGAAAGGATATTATCAAGTGGGACTCACGGATAGGGCAAAAATAATCTCGGCATTTAT